GATAAGATGTAAACAGACAGTTTTTTTTTTGTTTTGTTTTTTTTTACTGTGAAATGGTTCTTTGTAGGGAAATTTACAGACTCAGATGTCTTTACAGTGGTGGTGATAGCAACCCGGGGTCGTGATGTATATAACGCAAATATAGCCAGTTTATTTACTATCCAAAACCACCAGTGAACCCACACATGTTCTGAGTTTTATGTATAATGTTGATCATGGTAAAATCTGGTGGTGATAAATGGTAAATGGTGATAAATCTGAAAAAAATATTTTTCTTACTTTGAGTGCTGTTTTTCCTTACAACATCTAGCATCTCTCCACCATAAAGAGATTAACAACATACATTTTAGGCCAAGACTTTCTCAAAACAGCCATAAAACAATACCTCAGGCACAGGCAGTGTATTCAGAACCATTTCATGTCATGTAGCTTTTAGAGGCATTCAACTCTTCAGACGTTTGGCTCCTATCAGACAATTCTGAACAATTCTGACTTTGTATGTTTCTCCAGAATGAAGATTTATGCATCAAATTACTTTTAATTACTATGTTTGTGACTTACCTATTATGTGGAAATTTAGAAAAATGTGTGGAATTCCCCTTTAAGCTATGTTTTGTTTTATCAGCCTCATATCTTCAAAAATACACTTTTCAGAAGGAGAAAGGCATTTAATCATATTTATTGCTTGGATACAGAGCAGATACAGGGACATACATTATATAAACAAAAGTTCTATAGGCATTAATATGAAGAATCTATAGGCATTAATATGAAGTTGGTCCCCCTTTGCAGCTTTAACAGCTTCCACTCTTCTTGGAAGCTTTCTACAAGATTTGGAGTGTATCTGTGGAAATTTTTGCCCATTCACCCAGAAGAGCATTTGTAAGGTCAGGCACTGATGCTGGATGGCTCACAATCTCCATTCTAGTTCATCACAAAGGTGTTTGATGGGGTTGAGGTCAGGGCTCTGTGTGGGCCATTCAAGTGCTTCTACACCTTTATGGACCTTGCTTTGTGCACTGGGGTACAGTCATGCTGGAACACAAAAGGTTCTTCCCCAAACTGTTCCAACAAAGTTGGAAGCATACAGTTGTCCAAAATGTCTTGGTCTGCTGAAGCATTAAGATTTCCCTTCACTGGAACTAAGGGGTCTAGGCCAACCCCTGAAAAACAACCCCATAGCTTTATTGCTCCTCCACCAAACTTTACAGTTGCACAATGCAGTCAGGCAGGTAATGTTCTCCTGGCATTCGCCAAAACCAGACTCATCTATCAGACTGCCAGATAGAGAAGTGTGATTCATCACTCCACAGAATACGTTTCCACTGCTCCAGAGTCCAGTGGCGGCGTGCTTTACACCACTCCATCTGACTCATTCCTGGGACTGAATGAAACAGCTAAATTCAGTGATTAAAAGGTGTGTCCCAATACTTTTATCCATATAGTGTATCTCAGGCACAGGCAGTGTGCTTAGAACCATTTCATGTGATGTAGCTTTTGGAGGCATTCAACTCTTCAGATGTTTGGTTCCTATCACACAATTCTGAACAATTCTGACTCTGTAAGTTTCTCTAGAATGGTGGTTTTTGCATCAAAACACTTTGAATGACTTTGTTTGTTTTACCTATTTACTTATGTGAAAATTTAGAAAAATGTATGGATTTCCCCTTTAGGCTATGTTTTGTTTGATAAGCCTCATATCTTCAAAAATACACTTTACAGGAGGAGAAGAGGCATTTCATCATATTTATTGCTTGGATACAGAGCAGAAGGGACATATGAGAGCTTTAAAACTTAAAAAAACTTTTTTGCAAATAGGGCTGAAAGATGTTATTTTTATATCAAAATCGCTATTTAAAAAAAAAAAAAAAGTTTGTCCAATTTCAGAACTGCAGTTTTGAGTGTAGCCTACATTATTAACAGTGTCTTAACAAGCTTTAAGTGGGGAAATTTAACCCAATAACATGGAGCTTGTGAACTGCCTGTAGTGCAGTCAGATCAATCAAAAACAACCAAATACTCACGTGCTATGTACATGACAACACAACCACAACTGGCAGTCAGAAAAATGTGTATGCTAATGTTCTTGGCCAAAAAATTAGGCTTTAATTTATAGAAAATAATTTCAGTCTCAATATTGGTCAGGAAAAATATCAGTCAGGAAAAGATTTCAATCGCAGTCTCAATATCGGTCAGGAAAAGAATTAAATTGCAGTTGCGATATTGGTCAGGAAAAATGCAGTTAGATATTTACTCCAAATTGTTCTGCCCTACTCACAAATGGCAGGGTTTCTGCACATTTACAGGAGGCTGTACTTTCCTAAGCTACATTGCATGCCTCTGTTTTGAGCTTAACAGGGAAGCTACTTCTTTTTCAGATGTCCATTTTGATAATATTCCACATGACTGTGCTCAGTGTGGAAGGTCGTTCAGTCGATTAAGTGAGCTAACGGTTCATCTGGAGGGGAGCCTTGCGAGTGCAGCTATTGTGAGAGCTGTTTCAGTAATAGAGGAAGCCTTAAGCTGCATGAGAAAGTTCACGCTTCAAGTGCCCTAAATGCGAGGGGTTCATCAGTGAGTTCAAACAGGCAACAAACCTTGTAAGAGCTCTCAGTATGGTAGGAGTTTTCAGTAGAGAGGACATCTGTCCTTCCACCAGACTATCCACTCAGGGAAGAAACCTTCATGTGTGTAATCTGAACATGTGTGGTGTTTCATTCAGGGCAGATTGTGTAGTGTGGGGACTTTGATGACTAACAACAATCAAGGACAAAAATAAAACAGTGGAAAAGTCATTATGTGTGGGATCTCTCATGTTTTCAACATCAGTTGGGATTTTTAAAATCCTGCAGTGTGGACCAGACATTACCAGTGCCAGATCTGTGATCTGTCAAAAAAACTTCCTTTAATCTTCTTCTGTGAAAAAAACATACACGGACCACACGCAAGGGTAAAAATCCAGCCTATTTGAGTGAAATTGGAAGACATGGGATTAATGTCAGATACATTTACATAGTATTGGAGGAGATTTAACCATAATTTCTTTGTGTGAGAGTTGATATCATATATTGTGCTTTACAGTTGTTTGAGTTTGAGTGGTGTTGGAAACTGTTAAATGCTTTTTTAACTTGGAAATTGCACTTAGCCAACAAACATGTACATACAAGTGGGCAACTTTGGATTCTAAATGATACAGAAGTTTAGCAGATATGACATAACACAAGCTTTCACCTTTTCCACCTCTGAAAAATGACTAACTTTGCAGTGAAAGTGAAAAAAAAAAATACGCCTGATGTGTTTCTGTTCTTCTTGTCACATAATTGAAAGAGACATCTGTGTTTTGCAATATCAAACAAAAGGCGGGATAACTTTCCTGGCATCCATGCTTTCATTTACCATGTTGTGGGCGTATCTTCCAGCAAGTACCTGAACAGAGTACAGTCATGAAAAAAAATGTTGGGCACAGCTGTTTATAAGACTTAAAATGCATAATACTTCAATGCTATAACATTGAATTTATGTCCAAACTGTGGTAACAACTCAGGTAGCAAACTACTCCATCTAGTGTACATGACTGCCGGTACAACTTCATAACTCTGAAAGCTTTCGGTTTTGCAAGCTACTGTAAAGGCTACACAGCTACCAATAACAAAAAAATGTGATGCATTGCACTGATACTGTGCAGGTACATGTGTAATTCATCAAGGTACAGACAATGTACTCTCAAAGGTTTTAAGGTCCAGTTGTGTTCCTTAAATTACAACCCCATTCTCCAAAAAAGTTGTGATGCCATGCAAAATGTAAATAAAAACAAAATGCAATGATGTGCAAATAATTTAACCCCTATATTTAATTGAAAATACTACAAAGACAGCATATCAAATGTTGAAACTGAGAAATTTTATTGTTTTTTGAAAAAATATATGTCCATTTTGAATTTGATGCCAAGAACATGTTCCAAAAAAGTTTGGATGGGGGCATGTTTACCACTGTGCTGCATCACTTCTTCTTTTAACAGCACTCTGTAAAATGTTAAAAATATGTTTTTCTAAAATATGGTTTATCTATTTTAATTTACATTCTAGGTGAAAAGTACATATTTGTACCTTTTCATAACCTAATGTTTTAAAACAGCCGGAGGTGTTTAACACTCTTCCCTGTTCTGTTGAAAACAAATAAAAGTCAGTTCTCTGCCAGCTACGGATTTATGTTCTTACTTCAATGCGTCATACATTTAAACCTGTCCACTCCCTGACCAGGCTGATAGTTCCCAGCATGAGCCTGTAGGTGGCAGTGAAGCCACTCATCCTCCTACTGTAGATATTGTGAACTTTGAGCTCTGTAGTGTGTACAGCCTTTTTTTAACATTGAATTAAGTAACATGCTCTGTGTTGAGCCTCTTGAGGCTGTCGGAACATTTCCATTTAGTTTTCCTACCCTGTTTGTGAAGGAGCCATGCATCTGATGTCTGTCAGGTGGTCTATACTGTGCTAATATATGCAGTGTAATTTGCATGAATGTAGAGTGTTTGTAGTTTTTAAATATTTTTTGCTCCCACTGTTATTCTGAAAAGATCAGAGATTGTTTTTCAATATTGACTAGAAGAAATTGGAAGAAATATGTTGTAGTGCTGTAATTGGCATAAGACAACATAAAGAAAGACTCCAAAAAGGTAACATCACAGGAGAAGGTAAAACTTCCTTACCTTTTTTTGGAGTGTTTGTATTGGTCCGTTCATCATAAAATTTTCATACGGTATAAAAATAAAAACATGAAACAGAAAATTTCTGTTTAAGGCACATCAATGGACTAGTCATCTTTCAATTATTGGTTAAAAAAAATTCTGATCCACTACTACTGATCCAGTCAACACCTCCACTCAATTTGTAACTTAGCAACGCCTCCCGTGCGCGCATTGGACAAGATGCTTGTCCGTTTGAGCTACTAGCAAATCCCAGCGCAGGTGGGCGGGCCTTTCCTGAATACAGGTGGGGAAAAAAAGGACGCTAAAGTTGGCGGCAACCAAGAACTTCGCTGTGGGATGAGCAAGATTGTACAGCTACTCTGGATAGAAGATTTCTCTCTTGGAAGTTTCCAGCCCTTGAAATTCGAAACGTCTCTTTTATTTATACATAAATTAATGACAGAAGGTAAGAGTGAAGTTTGAATTTTGCATGTTTAAAACATGTAAGACAGGTGGTCATGCACGTGATAGAGATTTGTAATTTTGGGGAAGAGATCTTCTTACAGCCTGCAGGAGCATTTTAGAATTAATTTCTGACATCCCATCATTATCCATCTATCTATCTATCTATCTATCTATCTATCTATCTATCTATCTATCTATCTTCAATGCCTTCAGCTAATAATGTAATCTAAGGAATTCTAAAAAAGTGAACTATTTGACAGGTGTGTTGGGCATTTATGTCACGAATTCTGATATTTTCTTGTAAGTTCCTGATTCCTGTTGGAATTGCTGTGTTCCTGCTGTCTGTGAGGAGCTTCTGAGTTCTTGTGCCATCTGCAGGGCAGGTGGGAGAGTTACTGCTTATTCAACAAGAGCACTTTGAATGGCAACAATCAAAATTAGAATCTTTATTTTTTTAATGATTTAGCATCAGTAAGAAATGAGATTTTAATTGACTGTATAGCCCAAAACAATTCTTTGTTTCTCTGTCAAATACTTCTCATTTTCTAGAAGTACCACTCATTCCTCTCCTGCATTCCCCTACACTTTGTCCCATTCAGAAAAGCAGCACTAAAATAGTACCCTGTGTTTGTCAGTGGGGCTGTGTGCTTTTGTGTTAAGTATATGTCTTGTTAGTTTCATGGGAAGAGAATCTGGCCTGTTTTGATTGGTTAGCTAAATACAGTTTGTCGTCCACTGTCAGTACTCAAGTAAAGGCCAGATTGAAAGAATTCCTTAAAAGTTCCAGTAACATACTGACCGTGGATGGAATAAACATGTCCTCCTTTTGAGTGGTCTGACTTTCAGTGTTTCAGTGGAAGGTTATTTCAGCTTGTAAGCTTGAGAATGGCATAAAAGCAGACCCTCTGTTTTAAGTACTCTTAGCTGAGCTTATCTAATAGGAAGACATGTCTGATCTGAGCTGTAGCATGATTGTTTTGTGACCTCCTTTGTCTCTGGTCCATTTGAACACAGGGAGTTGAGGTTCAATGATGCAGCCAACTATCTGTGTAATTTCAGTGGAGACTCTTGCTGTCTCTACATGGCCAGACATTAGCAGAGGTGAAGCTGCCCACTGTATGTATGCAATGCAATGGGTGAGTGAGCTTCTGAAGGCAGTTTGTATGTTGTTAAAGGAGAGTACCATACACTTTACGCTTAGTAGCCTGGGACAAGTACATTCCTCCCTGGAGCAGTAATGTCTTAGCTTTCCCTGACAAAGATGTGGAGTAGTGGGGCAGATGGCACTTTTGATACAATGTTGTAATGGAGATGCTGTCTACAGTACTGTGCAAGTGACAGACTACGCTTAACTTATTTAACCCCTTAAATGGCCAGTTTTATTACACACTTCTATAACCTAATATTAACTTCAGTTATCATTGAAGTCCCTGAAGTCCCTTAGTATGTAACAACCCTTGAATTTTAAGTGGTTTTAAGGTCATTTCCAGTTAAAACAGCTATTAAGTACTCATTTAAATGTTCATTTTTTATCGTCAGGATGAAATCAGAAGACACATTTTTAATAGAAACCTCAACAACTGAGTATAATTTGTTTTTGCAGTATTTAGTGTGTCCATGTTTTGCATTTATTATGGCTTTCACTCTTTTCAGGAGACTTTTTCAAAGAAATCTGCAGGGATGTTTTTCCACACCTCTAAAGTTCAGTCTTAGAAGCTTGTTGTATTTTCTGTTTCTCATGTTCCAAGTCATCCCAAACACATTCAGTGATGTTGAGGTCTGGACTGTGGGGTGGTCAGTCCATTGTTCTGAGAAAACCAACAGCTTCTTTAATTTGCAAATGTTCTTTTTTGTCTACTTTCTTTTCTCAGTAAGGGCTTCTTGACAGCTACACATCCTATTAGACTCATAGTGTTGAGTTGTCTTCTCACAGGGGAAGGACGGACAGAAACACATGTGGGTGTTTTCAGATCTGAAGCAAGAGTGGAGCTTGGTTTTCTCCTCTCTCTCAAAGATGAAAGCTTTAAGTGCTTTAAATACTCCTTTTTTTAGCCTATTTTCCTTCCTTATTCAAGTGGATTATCTTATGTCTTAATGTCCTCAGACGTATCTCCTGAAATGATTAACTTTCATATAATAGAAATTTGGACCGGTAATTAAATAAACGCTTGGTGGTGTCTGACCTTTGCACAGTAAGTACCTTTGCTGTAAGAGGACATTTGTAGCAACGTTTCTGACAAATGGGAATCCTGAAACAGGTTCTTCTTAAAGAGACAGGAGTCTGATGTAGATAAACATTTCCTCATTCTTTTGGTGCTTTTTTCCTGAGACCACTTTACAGATTAGTTGTGTGCTGCATTAACTGAGTAGTTATTTATGGCAAAATAAATTAAGAGCAAAGGGGAATTAAATATTCTCATTAACACTGTGCTATAATAAATGGGTTACACATTGATTTGGCATCCCACCATCCACATATTTCTTCTACTCATTAGAGAAATAATGCATGCATCTCATTAATATCAAGGAAATTGTTGTCCTCCGAAAAAAATTATGAAAGACTCTGCTATAGCACAGCACATCTGGTGTAGGAGTCTCCACTTTGTGGTCAACCACAAGCCCTCTCTCAGCGGAGAAGCTCATCAGCAGGCATGGCCACTGGCATTGAGAGAGAGAGAGAGAGAGATATGGGCAAAGCATGGCGCGTGATAGAGCAGCAGACTCCACATGTGGACCAGCTGCAGACAAGTGCTTCTCATCCTGTCACAATCAGAAGATAAAGGACGAGGCCAGTGTGTAGAGCATATTTGTTATTTGGTGAAGTTGCTGTTCCCAGCCTGCCTTATTTCAGCCGGATGAGAGTGTTTCAGGAATATTTCACCCAAACTTGAATGATACCTCATGACTACTAGTTAACATGAGCTCATTTGCATTAGTGGCCTCTTCTAGCTTTTGCACGTTTTGTATATTTCTTCCTAATGCATGAGTTTTTTAATCACGAATGAACTGTGATGACCCAAAACAGGACACCTTAGGACTGAGTGGCTCCCTAAGCCCTGCGGTCCTCCTCGAAGGCCACACTTTGGTGATGTCAACAACGTGCAGACCTGTAGGGCAAGAAACCTCAAGGGCTCTCAGTTTAAACATGTGCATTTGGGACAGACTCATGCAACGTGCAGGCTCTGCATGTGCCGCATTGGTCATTTGGTCATACTTGTTTTTTTGTTTTTTTTTTAAATGAGCTAATTTACTCAGCAGTGGCTCACTTCAAATTCCAGAATGGATATGGATATAAATTACAAAAATCAAATACATTTTTAATCACATCTGAGCATCTTCCTTTCACCATGCTGATCAGACAGCTGTAAACAAAACCATCCACTCTGATTGGTTGTCTCATTTTGGGTATTAGGCCACTGCTGAGTCTGCAGCACCTAGAGGGTGCCACTGAGCACCACTGAATTCCAGAAAGAGAAGTGGGACACCCTACAGCCACGCGGCCTTTGCATGCCCTCGCGACTGGACCGTGAGTGTCGTATTTGGGACGGGGCTTTAATCCTGCATTAGGGAAGAAGGTTGTTGGCACAGTACTAACTTCTGGGTTAGTAGAAGGAACTCTCACAAAAATGTAACATTGCCCTCGAGACCAACATTTATCCATTCGTTAAAACTTCTGAATGTTACAATCTATTAAGGTGGGGATAACGTTTTGATATTTATATGTTATTATTATATATTAATAAACATATATTCTATGAATACAACTATTATTTTAAAAGATTTAACCTTTATTGTATTTTTACTTATAGTTTATTTTACCAAGACAATGTTTCACTAATTTAATTTATTTAATAATTAAATATAATTTATTTAATATAATGTGATTTGATATAGGCTAATGAAAGACATAAAAAAAATAACGGTAAAGTGGCCAGTTTTTTTTTTCTAATTATTGTTGTTCTTATTGTTCTTCATTATAGGCCACATTATTAATGTTTAACTGATTCAGAAATGCTATTTGAATGCCACTGAATGGTCTTATTTCAGTTAAACCCTCTGATTATTTCTATTTGATATTTCATACTTTAAATCTATAGCATTAAAAATTGTGCCTACCACCCACATAACATGTAGCAACCAACCCCATGTTGGAGCTGGTTACCACACAAGTGCATAATATGAACTATAGTCATGACTGTAGTAATTCCAGGAAATCTTTTCTGATGTAGAAAGTGTGTAAAATGTTCAGCTTTCATTGCTGGTTATCCTGATGTATGTTATGCCTGGGGTACAAAAAACTGTGCCAACCAACTCTGCTCTCCCCTGTGTTGTTGCAGATGTTAGCAACGGTTTCATTGACTATGCATGTGAATGACATTCCTACCAGATGAACATTTCTTTGTATTAAGGCATGTTTAAGCTCAGAAATACAGCACATCTACGCTAGATCAGTCAAGCTTGCAGCTGAGATTCTTGCAGCACAAGCCTCCATAACATTTGACTTTAAAGTCTCGTGATACTCAGAAGAGAAGCAGGATGTGAGGACTACTGTGTACTTCTGTACAGTGTGGATGAGAATGAGAAAGAGAAAGAGGAAGGCACAGGCTGGGCGTGAGCTGGGCCTTAAGCAGGGGGCCTTCAGAGTGTGCTCAGAAATACACTAAAACAAGGTTCAAAAGCACATGACACCACCAAGGTATAGTTCTCCACTAGCTCCTGTCAAGTTCAGGTCTCAGGCTATGCTTGAAAAGGTCATTACGCCTATAAGCTTGCACAGGTTTCTTTTCTTGGTTGCCAGTGCAAAGCTGTAAAGTTCTTTTTAAAGGTTATCACATTAGCATTGTGTCAGTGTGCTTGGCGCTATATAGGGAACCCTATAAACCACTGAGTTCCCATGCCCTCAGGAATGCCCCGAATGTCTGCTCAGGACCTGTCGTTAGCACCTGTAACACTGTTCATTTTAGAAGACACTGTGTTGTGCAGGAATGATGGATATGTGAGAGAACTCACCCCACTCACCCCCTTCATTTCTCTCCTCATTAAATGATGGCACCAAATCTAATTTCAACACATACATTTGTATGCAAAAGTTTGGGTGCCCCAGGTCAAATTGCATGTTTTGTTGATTTCCCAAGTGAAAATACATTTACACCTTCTCTAGAGAGAACACACTCCTGCACATTTCAATGCACCGTTACTGTGTGTTTGCTGAATTTAATATTTGCAAATGTTTGGCACATTAAATATGTTTGTCCCCAATATGTTAAACTCAAATAAATAGAATGTGTGCACTAAAATATACAGATAAATACCATATTTAAGTTCTCTGTGGGGATCATGTGTAGCTTATTTTCACTTAGAACAAAACAAACCAACAAAACAAAAAAGTTTTACAAGAATAGTTGTTTACAATATGTGAAAGTTGTGAGGTGGGTGGGTTGAAGAGAGCAAAGCATTTGGTTTTCTGAGGAAAAAAGGTTTTTCTTCTGAAGTGAAAGGGCAGGAAGTCCCTCCAGACACGGGCCTCTTTAGCATATTGCACCGGAAATATTCTGTGGTTAGTTGTTCACTAGAGTTTCACTGGCTATTTAGCATTAGCATTGCATGCTAGCTAAAGCGATCGTTAGCATTAGAATTAGGCAACATTTTTAGCCATCCTGCTGGAGTTTGTGTGTGAGTTTTGTTGCTCAACAGATTACATCCACACCTGATTTGTTTTTTCATATCTAATAATCATGTGTATCAATATATATCAAAATACTAAAACGCAACTGGTGGTTTAAATTGTTTTTATTATTATTGTTGCAATATCATTATGTAATGAATATAATTGCAATAGCTAATTATTTCATAGATAAAATTGACCATTTAAATGTTTCTATTATATGAATATTTGTCTTGTATTTATACATGATTAATAACATTTTTTTAAAAATAGAAAAACCAGGTCAATTATACATTCTACAACTTAGATGACCAATTGATGCAAGATTCACCACAGGGGCTTTTTACCACAGGTAGGGGGTCCCGATAGTGGGACAAGATGCCCCTTCTCAGTATTTCCTTTTTTGTGCTTTAAAAACAAAACTGTCTGCTTGTCCAGTGTATTTCCTCTAATTGTGAGGTTGAGGCATCTTCATCCTGCATGGTACACTCTTACACATATACAGTTTAGCTTGGACTAGGTGCCCCCCCCCAAGCCCCAGTGCTCTGGCCAGGGATGATTCTGACTCTCACAAGTGTGTCAGTAAACAGAACATGCTCCTTGTCTATGGCTCTGCTTGTAATAGAAAAAGTGGAATAGAAGTACTTGTCGGATATGCCAGAGGTTTTGGTTGACCCAGCTGCTACCATCTGTTGTTACTGTGGTTTAAGGCAGTATTATATTGAGAGCCAACTATAAAGTGACAACACAGCCACTGCTTGGGAAGTAATTGAAATGCTCTCTACTCCTGCATTGTCTTGCAGTCTTAGTTTTAGATAACTGCAGAATTCTACCTAAAAAAACAGAAAACGTCTGTCATTTCGTCTACAGGTACAAATGCTGCCCCGTGCCGCTTGAGTGAGGGTCTGTGCGCCACTCTGTCCCCCTGAAAATCGGTGCCATGTGCCATGTTTATTTTCATGTTGTGCTCACCAGCTTTCTAACTGACGTCGTTATTTTCCTTGGCTGCAGCCTGTGGTCCGCATGGCAGCACATAGACTTCACTGAAGCGGAGTGAAAAAACAAGACCACATGGCCTTATGGCAACCAAGAAAATGTCCCTCTTCCCAAGAGCTTTTTACAAGGTAGAATAAAAGGGAGGTTGTCACATCCAGCAAAGTGAAAGATGTCTTTTTTTGACCCAAGCGGCGTTAGCAATATTCTAACACATGTTATTTTATTTATATCATCCATATATATCAATTATCTGGGGTGAGTCTGGTTGCCTTGACGCACAAGAGTTGCTAAACAAAACAAAAATATAAATTGAGGTGCAGATTGTGCCCATGCATTGCAAATGAGCAAACAATGCCAGAACCGCATCCAGAATGGTAGCAGAGGGGGATATTCTGGTGGTTAGGCTACTCGAACGATTTGTGAGATTTAAACAAGGCTTAACTCATATATTTTTTTTCTGTTGGAATTAGTGTGAAAATTACCGACATGACCTTTGCTTTCCTTGGTATACAGTATCTGTACAGTATGTGCTTCTTTACTGCATATTTACAGCCAGTGCATTTCCAGAGGAATAGCTTAGGGTGAGTCAAGCGAACAGTTTCTGAGTCAAGAGCTGAATTATCAAGTGTGTTATCAAACATAAAATCTCAGTGCTTCTCATGTCATTGCACTGGTTCTGGGTCATTTGAAGTCGTTTTTTTAAACAGTGGTCCTCAAATCAGTCCTCAGACCCCCAGACGGTCCACATTTTTGCTCTATCTGTATGCATTTAGAGTGAAGTCCTAGCAAGAATGTGGACCACACATGGGAATATGGGAACGTTAGGATGATGCTTTATATACCTATCTGCTGCTATATAAACATTAGAAAGAAATTGGAAGTAGCATCATCATTACCACTACAGCAAATATTACATTTATTTGGAGAGGTAAGTCAAGTAAGTCAGGTAAGTCAAGTAATGCAGCGTTTTAGCACAGTAACCCCACATTGCCCTAAATATTCTGCTCTTCCAAAGTACAATAAATACATCATCAAATATCGGATTGAAATATCAGTCATATTGAATCATCTGTCCGATGCTGATAATTTGCTTAAACAATTATCTACCCACACTGACATGATTATGATGTCGTCATGCAGACCTAGTGATTTTACACTATGTTTGAGAAGTAATATGGTGCATTTTCAGTAATACTTGTTACTTTTTAATCCCCTTTTTGTAGGAACCTGAACACTAAACCTCATTTCGGGGAATCTTGAAGATGTTGATATTGAGGTCACTGACATTGCTGTGGCTCCTCACCTTCACACAGTCAATAGAAGAGGAGGATATTCGAGCAGGTAGGCATGCAGTCTTTGCTGACACAAGCAAAACATCACAGCTGAGTCATTATCAGTAAACATGCACTTTTGTGTCCTTAAGACAAATATTAAAATTAGACCCAATGAAATTAAAATATACATCTTACATCTGATAATGATAATAAAACAAAATATTTGAACCTAAATTAATTTTAAAACATTTTGCCCACTTTTCTAATGTTGAACGATGATGGTTTTTGCTTTTGTCCCCAGTGGTCTAATGTCAAATATAATGGACACAATAAAGACTGAAAATTTGACATTTTCAAGTTAAATATTTACTACTTTGTGTGTTTTTCATTATAAATATTGTTTGATTTATGATTTATAAGTAATTTGTAACTTTATTGTGCACTAAATTAATAAATGTATTCATTTTGTTTATAGACATTTATAGAAAGATACCATTAGCAGGCCTTTGTGTCATTTCCTTTGTGAGAAATCAGTTGTGTCGTAAAAGATGATGTGTCCACATCGTGTGATACATAAAGACATAATATGGCCATCTGGTTACATAATAATGTAATATTTCAATAGGTCATCCTATAATTTCATCATTTTAAAAAATCTTTCTAAGACAAGAACAATATTATTAAGTGTTGGTCATTTGGCTAAATAGGTAACAATAGTTTAGGCCATGTTTGCTAGTTTTAGCCAAAAATGTCCACATAATGCACTGTCCACCTTTTTATATATAGTACAGGGTGATTCAAAAATATTCATCCGATTTCAAAGCGCCATATTTTTACAACCGTGAGGCGCCTAGGAACCAATCACGTACCAACTGAAAGAGGGGGGTCATAGTGTTTTTGACCGTCACCGGAAGATGGCTCCCTTCAGAGGAGATGAGACGCCTGAGCAGGAAACGTTAAGCATTCTCCTCTTCAATAAGAGTGAATCCGTCATAACCGTGCAATGTGATTTTCGTCGGCAGTGAGCCTCCAACAGCTCCGAGCGTTCATCGTTGGTTCCACAACGCTGGACGATCGCATTGAAAGAGCCGTGAGTGCAGCGACACCCGACATGCTCAATCGAGTATAGGATGAATTTGACTATTGCATTGATGTTGTCTGTACAGCTGGAGGAGGTTCATATTGAGCACTTGTAAAATTACATAATAAACTTTATGCTCACTTAAACCATTTACAGTTTACTGCATTGATCTGTAATGATTTATAAGTGAAATAAATCATTTTGAAATCAGACGAATCTTTTTGAATCACCCTTCATTTATAAAACCCAGCAAAATTCTCCTGCATCATTCCGTCAGCATTATGTGTATGAGTGGTCAGCGCCAGCTATGGCTTCCAAATCAAGACATTGAGAAAAAAGCCAGATCGATCCATAAACAATTAATAAGTTATCCTGTGCATTATGGCCCCCAATAAGATATCCAGATCACTAGATAATTATATAATTATTTAATCTGTGGAAGGTTTAGCAGTATTCTTTTGTAATAACATTACAAAAGAAAGTGACAAGAACATCTTTTGTAACTTCAACAACATTATCAAACTTTGTCATCATTGCAAAAGTGATGTTTGAAAGGGTTGACCAGCGTTCCCTGCTAACGTCCTGGCATTCTCTCAGCTGCATTCTTTGTCTAGCTAAAGCAGAAGAGATCTAGAAATAAATAGATGACATAAGTCAATCATCACTTGACGTCAGTTGTCAATCATGAACAATACTCAAAAATGGGCAAAACTACAGAATTCATCCTTCACCTAACTGCCTGTCTATGCCAGACTGATGAGAGCAGAGATTGGTGTGGGGAGATGGCAGAAAGGTTTTCCTGTTTATTCTTGCTATTCAAAGATTTCTCGTTCACGGGTTCAGCTCTTCAGCATCTTTCTCCTCCTGACATCAGACAGCAAAGATGCTATAAAAGCTTTTAGTATTTCATTTTTTGTTGCTGTTGTCCCTATAGCCATGAACCACACAACACACCATATTTTACAACCCCTTTCCAAAAAGTTAAGAAGCTGTGCAAAATGTGTCTAAAAACAGAATGCAATGATGTACAAATCATTTAAACCCTGTATTTAATTGAAAATATTACAAAGATAACATATGAAATGTTGAAACTGAGAAATTTTATTGTTTTTGAAAAATATGTGCCCAATTTGAAGTTAATGCCAGCAACACATTTCAAAAAAGTTGGGACAGGGGCATGTTTACCACTGTGTTGCATCACCTCTTCTTTAACCACACTCTGTAAGTGTTTGGGAACTGAGAAGACCAACTGACTGTAGTTTTGAGAATGAAATATTTCCCCATTCTTTCTTGATACAGTATTTCAGCTGATAACAAGTCAAGTGGTCTTTAGCCTGGAGGAGCCTGTCCATGATTTCCAAAAAGAATTTCAAATTCTGATTTGTCAGACCACAGGACACTTTACCACTTTGGCTCATTCCATCTTAAATGAGCTCTGGCCCAGAGAAGTCTGAGGCAATTTCTGGATCCAGTTTATATATAGTTTCTTCTTTGCATTTTAGAGTCTTAACTTGCATTTGTGGATGCAGTGATGAACTGTGTTCACAGACAATAGTTTTTGGAAGTGTTTCTGAGTCCATGCAGTGATTTCCACTACAGAATTATGTCTGTTTTTAATGCAGTGCCACTTGAGGGCCTGAAGATCATGGCCAGCCAGTATTGCTCTGTGGCCTTGTCCCTTGCATATAGAGATTTGTCAGGATTTTCTAAATAGATGATGGAATCAGTAGATGATGGTATCCCAAAGTTCTTTGTTACTGTGCAACTGTGATGTCAAATGAATGTTATCTACACAACAATGCTGTCTTGTTGATAACATTTTGTGAATTATTCCATGATTTATGGTGTTATAGTATACAATGGCAACAAATTCCTATTTATAGAATACCTAATTACATTTTAGATCATGGCTTCAGTTATAGATAATTGCCAATGTGCCAGATGTACACTAAATTTTATCTAGATGTCTTTCCACCCTTTTATTTTGATAAAAGAATACTTCAGTTACATTATCAATTGTTACATTTAGTTACATCATAAATGACAATAAAATATGATATTAAAGTGTCAAAAGGGACGAACTTGAGCAATTCTTTTTGTTTACTTTGTATGGCAGTTTTCAAATAGTGGCTGTATTATCTGTAGATGAAGAACACATGATTTGCATAAATTGTATTTCTACAAAGGAAATCCCTCTGTAGAAATGTACATTTTACTTTATAAAAGACTGCAGATACTTTTCATTACATGTTTCAGTGATTTTCTAAGTGAACATAAGTACACATCCTTTACAGGGAACACATTTCTGCACAATTTTAATGCACAATTACTGTTTATCTGCTGAATTTAACATATTGGGAAAAATAAAACAAAAAATGTGGCCTGTGCAAAAGTTATGGCACATTTTAAATTTTCTATTTTATTTTTACCAATATGATCATTTCAACAAAAAGTAGATATTGTGCACTAAAATTAACAGAAAAAACCCATATTTAGGTTTGTTCCCTGTAGAAAGATGTGGTAACTTATTTGCACTTGGAAAATGAACAAAACATGAAATCTCACCAGGAGTTTTCGAACTTCTGCATACAACTGTATATAATTACTAATCAGAATATTGATGCAAATTTTCCATTTTCCAGATGTCAAAAAGTCACAGTTTGGTGATAATGACCTAGTTATCCTTCTAGCAGTACTAGCTGTATGTGCAAACAGAATGATACAACGGAATCTATTTACAAGGTTCACATTAAAGATGTGCTAATGAGTTATTCAGCATGTGTTTGTAGCCTTTGCTGTACCAGGTCAAAACAGTAGCACATACTTCTGCACCAATATTTACCTCTATGCATCTCAAAAGATACAGGATTGTGTATCCACTGTCCCTAAAACTTCATTCCTTAGGATGCTAAAGACATAAACTGATCCTAGATCAGCCCTCTTGCTCTGAATATATTAACAAACTGTGCCCTGTGTCTTTCCCTGACGCTCTGTAGGTTGCAGCACAGCTGTGAATGATCTCGTGTATATCATTGATGGTTCTTGGAGTGTGGGCTATGAAGACTTTGATAAGGCCAAAAGCTGGCTGGTCAATGTCACCAGTGGCTTTGATGTGAGTGCGCTCTACTCTCAAGTGGCCGTGGTGCAGTACAGTGACACGCCCAGGCTGGAGATCCCACTGGGCCTGCACCAGAATGCTCAAGAGCTCATTGAGGCAATCCAAGCCATCAGATACCTGGGCGGCAACACGCAGACAGGCCGTGCCATCACGTTTGCTGTCAACCACGTCTTTGCGTCTTCGCAGCGTGGTGACACTGTTAAGAATCGCATTGCTGTGGTGGTGACGGATGGCAAGTCTCAGGATGACGTGGTGGATGCCAGTGAGGAGGCTCGAGCGCAGGGAATCATCATGTTCGCAGTGGGAGTGGGATCAGAGATCACCAACTCAGAGCTGATAGCCATCGCTAACAAACCCTCCAGTGACTATGTCTTGTACGCAGAGGACTACACCAACATCGACCGCATCCGTGACTCCATGAAGCAGAAGCTGTGTGAAGGTGAGACTCTGAGAAGAGAGCAACACAGTGAAAAAGCCTTACTGAGGCTTGTACAGAGCTGTCAGGGTGTGTTGAGGTTGTCGTGTGGCAGGGTGTCAAACTCGGCTCCTTCCAGGTCACAGCTCTGCAGACTTCAGTGTTCTCCATCATTTCACACACCTGATTCAATTACTCAGCGAATTTGCAAGACCTTCATGAGTTTTCATTCAGTGTTAGAAGAGAGAAAATGCTAATCTCTGCAGAACTGTGGCTCAGAAGGAACCCACTTTGATACCACATTTGGAGTAGCCCTGCTATGAAAATCTTTTGTTTTCTCTGCTTTAACACACCTGGTTTAATAAATCAGGTAATTAGGAAGTCATTTCTGAGTTAAAGTAGGTGCATCAGAGGAAAAAAACACTACAAAGTGCAGGTCTGGAGAACTCCAGGACCAGGGTTTAGAGGAGCTATAGCAGAGAGCTGTTGAAAATTGAACACATGAATGGATTTACACTGAGTGACCAGTTTGAGGTTTTTCTAGCTTTTGTACCTGCTGCACACATTGGTCATTTTATCAGATACACATACACTATTTTAAAGATGTTAAAGATAAATATTTATATTTTACGATTGGATCAGACAGAGCAGTGCTGCTGGAGTTTTTAAACAGTGCATCCACTCACTGCCCACTCTATTAGACACTCCTTAACTGTTGGTCTATTTTGTAAATGTAAAGTCAGAGACAGTAGCTCATCTGCTGCTGCACAGTTTGTGTTGGTCATCCTCTAGTCCTTCATCAGCGGTCACAGGACGCTGCCCACAGGACGCTGTTGGCTGGATATTTTTGATTGGTGGACAATTCTCAGTCCAGCAGTGACACTGAGGTGTTTAAAACTCCAGCAGCACTACTGTGCCTGATCCACTCAGACCAGTGCAACACACACTAACACACCACCACCATGTCAGTGTCACTGCAGTGCTGAGAATGGTCCTGTGGGGGTTCTGACCATTGAAGAACAGGGTAAAAGGGGGCTAAACAAGGTATGAAGAGAAACAGATGCACTACAGTCTGTAATTGTAGAACCACAAAGTGCACCTATATGGTAAGTGGAGCTGATAACATGAACAATACATCTAGATACAGGGTAGGTGTACCTCATGAAGTGCTTTAAAAAAGCATTGCCAAATAGAATGGGATGCACTGGAGCGTTGGTAAGAAGGGTGTGAAGCCCCCCAGCATTGGGTTGTGGAGCCATAAAACTGTTCTTCGGAATAACAGAGCTCCATCCAGTTTGGACAGAGATGGAAAATACTTGAGTAACTGTGCTTGAGTTTTGTACTCAAGTATTTCTGAAAGATATGTCCTTAAGAAATATTGAAATTACCCATCTTCTGGACAAACTCATCCATTTTACTCTCTACTGGAGTGTAGATCTCATGTACTGGAGTTTCATTTGTATGTACTGCAGCATTCTTTTCCAGACTGAAAATCTGCATTATAATCTTTCAAGTGGTGTTTAAAGTATTTATGTGTGTAGTTAGTGAGTTGGTATTATTCAGTACAGTGCAGTCTTTTTATTGTATGTGGCACATGAAAGATAACAAAGGAATGGTAATGTGCCTAATATCAACATTTATTTTAATTGTTGGCATATTAAACAAGATCAGTTATCAACCCAAGGCTTTTGTATATTTTTTGTAAATTGTATACCAGCAAAGTGCCCTTACATGGTTTTAACTTGTGAAAGAACGCTGGTCTCAAACTGATACTGCTAGACAGGAGTTTAAAGTTCAAGGCCGAATGTGACTAACAAGCAAGTTCACATAGCAGAGTGTTTTACATACACGTGGCCTACAGGCATGAGTTTGTACACTGATGTTGTTTTTTTCTTTTAGGGCAAGCTTGCTTAGTAAACCTGTGATCACAACAAAAGTACACTACTGAGAATGTTGGAAGTGTTTCAGTTCTTGAGGGACTTTACAGTCATATGTGTCAGAGACACAGACCTATCAGAAGCATAAAGAAGAATTTTTAAAACTGTTTTTATGCATTTAGAATTTAATTGATTTTCCTAGATATTCGGTTTCAGGGTGATGATTAAACGTAGAGTTTGGTGAGATGTTATGATTGTCAGGTATTAAGAGATCATGCAGAAGAAGACAGTCATGAAGTTTCCTGGTTTGAAAGCTTGTATGACACGCTGTGTGATGGTGCTATGTTGTAAGAGGCTTCCATAACACTTCTTCTGCTCTACTGCAGAGTCTGTTTGTCCCACGCGTATTCCTGTGGCCTCTCGGGATGAGAAGGGCTTTGAGCTGATACTGGGGATGAAGATCCACGAAAAAGCCAAGAAGATCCAGGGCTCCCTGGGCTCTGAGACAGCCCACCTCTTGAACAAAGGGGCAGACATTACTGAGAAGACAAGGTAAGAAGAAAAGATAAAGTTGCATTTTTTGAAAAATGCACCTTCTGGATTCCCAGAGTGTGCTGAAGTGTAAGTCCCAAAGGGAGACGGCTGGCACACGCCTGCACAAAAACAACACTGGTCACACTGTCTCAGTGTGGTTGGCCATGTAACCAAACAGATCAAATCTGATGCCTGACTGACTGATGAGCAATACAGAGAGAGATCCTTCTGTCCTTCCCTGGCAACGAGAATAGGGTAAATCATGCTTCAGTAGCCTCTGGTCTTGGTGGCATATCTGTGACCTGAGCCCAAGTTCTAGCAGTAGAAGTGCACTTAGTGATTGCTTAATTGAGTGCACACTTTTTTGACAGTCCCACTTAAGTCTAGTGTTTGTCAACTGCATATTTATTTATAGCAGTCAGTAGTTCCTTAATACCAGACAGACATGATTAGCTAGCATATTTATAAATGAAAGCATGGTCAATTATGCCTTCATTTGCTCCAAGCAACAGCATCACTTTAGCATACAAGCCCTTGATCAAGGTATGAAGGTCACTCTGTATGTTTATTATACTGTCATATGCTGTCATGAGTTGCCATAACAAATAGTGTTCAGAATTATATAACAATGTCATGTTACCATTTTCACTAAGTGTACTCTAGTTAGCCATCATGACGTCACATATTATGGCATCTCTGATGAGGTAATGGTAACATCACACTCGTATATTACTGGACATAATCTGTCATGACAACCCATGACAGCATATGACATCTGCCATGGCTTGTTTATGGTATGGTCATGTCAATGTTATGTAACAGAGTTTAAGTAAAGTTTTACCGAATATATTGTTCTTTGATTCTCCTTTCAAAATGCTGCAAACATGTGACCAATGGGATTTCCACATTGCTTTCAAGGGATATCTTCCCAGAGGGTCTTCCCCCTTCCTATGTGTTTGTGGCCACTGTGCGGCTGAAGGGGGCTGCGAGCAAGGAGAAGTTTGACCTCTGGAGAGTGCTTTCTAAAGATAAACAAGTGCAAGTGGCTGTGACGCTACATGGACAGAAGGAGTCTGTCACTTTCACTACCACAGACACAGAAGATGGGGAACAAAGAGTCACTTTTAATGCACAAGATGTTCAGGTTTGTTTTTTTGTATAATAGCATTGTGTCTACAACCTCATTTCCTATTCAAGACAGTTGCTGAATACGTGACTTGCAGTGTCTTTTCTAGCATGAGGTGAGATTTAAAAATTAGACCTTTTTTTTTTAATAGATATAGCACACCACAGCTGGCCACCATCACTGTGTCCCTCCTCAGTGTACATTCACTTGTTAACTGTGCAAGTGAATAATAAGGTAGCTGACATCAAGTAGCTAATTAAGGTAATTGTTTCTCCTAGCAAGCTAAACAGCTTAGTTGGCCTAAATTTAGGGACATAGGGCCTATTTACACCTTGCTTCAACATGTGTTTGTGGCGATCAGATCACGTTCGGACCGCAAAAAAAAAAGGGGTGCAGTGTGATCGGATTATGATCGGCTCACTCAAACCACATTGAAAAGTGGTCAGAGATTAATCTTGACTACATTTAACACAAGTGTAACCGGAATGCGTTTTTCACTATCCGTATACAGTTACATGAGCGGAAACGCATCTGCTGAGTCCTGACTAGCAGGTGAGAAGATAAACAATAAAATGAAAAGTGGAAGATACACAAGGCTGAAGTTACTCTCACGCCAAGAGCCTTCTTGCAAACTGAGACAATGAAAGTGTTCGAGCCAAGCTTGTCGACTCATAACAGGGCAAAAAGTCAATAGAAGTAGAATGGAAATGTATTTTTACATGGGAAAAGTGCAATCAGATTTCAACTGGCCACACTGAGGATGAATCATAGTGAAAAGTGTAAATAAAATCCGGACAAAGTATATCCATATATGATCCAGACACAAAATACATGTTAATACAAGATGTAAACAGCTCAACATCTTAAAGGGGAATTCCATTGATTTGCATAATTCAGTGGTTGTGTGCATTAAAGTGAAACTTACCAACTTTCTTTTCAGTGGTGGTGACAGGAACGAGGGGTCACAATGTTTACAACTTGAATGTAGCCATTTTTGTAACTATCCATATTGACCACTTATACGTAGTTATATGTAGTGTTGATATTTGTAAGATAGTACTAAATCTAAATTTTTTTTTTTAAACTAATACAAAGCCCTGCATGTACCTCTCCACCATGAAAGGATTTTCAAAGATATGTTTTACACCAAAAGCTCATCTCAAAACTGTTGTAAAACAATGTATCAGACATCAGGTATCATACTTGTAACCACCATTATGAACAGTTCTGGCTCGTTCTAGAAAGGAGCATTTCATATCAAGCCACTCTGAATGACTTTGTTTACATCCTAACATTTGAATTATGCAGGGGCTTTGAGAGTGCGTTGAGGATGTGTGTGAGCCACTCATGCCACATCTTTCTCTCTCTCTTTCCCTCTCTGATGCACTGACAGCACGGCCAAGGGAACCTTGTTGTGACAGCAACACACTGGGGAATTCATGCATGTGAATGGTGAAGGAGCATGTGTGTGTGTGTGTGTGTGTGTATATATATATATATATATATATATATATATATATATATATATAATATATATATAAACATATATATATATATACACACACACAACCCCATTTCCAAAAAGGTTGGGATGCTGTGCAGTATGTAACTAAAAATAGGATGCAATGATACGCATATCATTTAAACCATATTTTAAAATGAAAATAATACAAAGAATTTTAATGATATTATGTTCGGTATATATATATATATATATATATATATAATATATATATATATATATATTACATGTTATATAACCTACCGTACTTCACCATGACTGTTTGTTGTTTACAGTCTACTGTACTTGTTTACTATCTACTGGTTATGGCTTTCGGGTTCAGTACCTGAAAGCGTTACACCATTAAATGTGTGTATATTTCACCTTAAAAGTGATGTAACAGCAGAGAGAGTCTTCTAGTCTTTAACACACCAAAGACTTCAGAGTGTGGAAAGCAGGCACTGAGTGAGACTGATGTGTGTAAATCTGGAAATACTGTCCATGTTTCCATGCTAGTTCTTAGGGCAGTTTTTCCACTAAAGCACTTTAATATCACCTTAATATTCCCTTTTTTATTTGTATTTTTTTCAACAGTTTACCTTTACCATTACCCAACTTTATTCCCTTAGATGCTCTTCCATATTTCCAAGCACTTTTGTCATGTTCTCAGAGCAGTAATGCTTCTGGAGGTGCAATTAATGCCAACAGTACATGCAAAAGCAATGGAAAAGCAGATTTTCCACTTGCCTTCCCTTCTTCACAGTGTTCAAGAGCAAAAGCTTGTTTTGGAAAAGGCAGGAATTCGGTCAGTTTCCCTTGTGGCACAGCAGCCCTTTCATAAGTGGCATCCTAGCTATGTATTTGAGGAACAGGATGCATCAAATGTTCCCACTTTTTTGTCTTAGAAGCTCAGTCCAGCACTTTAAACAGAGATGACAGTGTGTCTCTGGAATTCAGTTTCATTCATTTTAATACTAAAATAAATAAATGTTTATTTATTTACAAATAATGCCCTGTTTACAGTTATGGGTTCATTTTAAGCACAATGTCCATCAAATATCTATTGAATGCACAAAAACCTTCTGTATCAGAATTACAAGAGGCCCATATCTGATAACTTGTTTATAGTTCTCTAAATGAAGACAGACCTTTTTACTGTGCTGGAGAGAAATGCACTGCCCAGAGACTTTCCTAATTATTATAGCTGATGAAGAAATATACTTATTTACAGCTGAGTGACTGCATTCTTTGAACTCTCCTTCAGTTGGTTAGGTTTTATTGTTGTATGTAGAGGTGGTCTGTTTTTCTTATTTGCCAATGATAATATCATAAATGCTGATTTATGTCTAGTTTATGCCCGAGGAGCTGAGGGCGTAATTACTCTGTATTATTCATTACATGTTTTTCAAACCTCTCAGCGAAAGAGTACTCCTCTAGGGTTTTTCTTCATTGCCTTTCAGCCAGACCACATTTACACTCCTTTGTACTCACTGTTCACTTTGTTATTCGCCCCTAGAACCACCATCTTTTGACGTGCCATCCTAGCTCTTCATGAATGGCCAATTTCGTACTGCAAAAGTGGGTTGCCCATATATTATTTGGTTAGTGGACCACTGTCAATCCATGTCCTGAGAATGCTCCACCACCCAAATAATACCTGGTTATCAGTGCGTCTTGTGGTCATTAACTGGCCAATGATGATTGAGATACAGAGTGGCTGACAAAATCTGCAGCAACAGATGGGCTACAGTCTGCAATTGTATACCTAAACAGTGGACCTCTATGGTAGATGGAGCTAGTGTGTAGAAGTAAAGTAGATGGTTACTGTAAGCTTGACCACATCTGCATTCTTAACTTAAGCAGTAACTTTAACCACAGACCTCAAATCAGCTCCTTAAAAATAAAGTTGCCAAGTAGGTTCTTCAGAGTGATGACATAGAACCTTCCAGGATGCTTCTTTAAAGACCCATTTTTGTAAATAAGATATGTGAGTGTAAGGGACCTATTTAAAGTTTAAAGAACATCCACATGATGCAAAAGTTCTATACTCATTAAAGTTTTTTTTCCCCCGAACCAAAGATCCAAGCCAAAAACAAGTTTGCAACCTTTATTTTTCAAGATTACAAGCCATCCTCGATAGTCCACACTGTATAGGTCACTCTCTCAGGCTGATTCATTGCCATACTATGAAGCTTTAATCTGTTCTCTCATATCACAGAGGCTCTTTGATGGAAGCTGGCACCAGCTGAAGATCCTGGTTCGGCCGAGTCGTGCCATCTTTTATGTGGATGACAAGGAGATCCAAGGAATAAATCTGGAGCCAGTTGTGCCCATTTACATCAATGGCAAGACTCAGATATCCAAACGCTACAGTTCTGAGGCCACAGTTCCTGTGAGTAGCAAGAACCAGAGCATGCAGTCTGACTATTCCAGAAATGGCTTTACGGTATGATTGCCCAGCATTGCCAGACAGCTGGAGCCTATGTAAATATACGCCATGGAAGGCCACAAAAACTTTGAACAGCTGTATATATAAAACAATGCAGAGTTTATAGTTTTACTCTGCGCTGCAGGAAGTGAATTAACAAAAACTGCTAGAGGCTCATTGTACACACATTTGCAGTGACCCAGTCTATACACTGCTTTTTGTGTAGGGCATACTAATGCTGTAATAATTGCCCTGTATGCATTTTCACAGATCGAAATCCAGAAACTGAGGCTCTATTGTGACCCACTGCAAAGCGAGAGAGAGACTGCGTGTGAAATCTATGCTGTGGTAAGAGTGTGTGTACTTGCATGAACTTTCTTTGATTTATTCACTTAACTCCACACACTGATTGGCCACTTCATTACGTACATCTCCTTACATCCACAATTTCCGTTGTATCAGCTCGACTTACCATGTTGGTACACTTTGTAGTTCTACAATTATAGACTGTAGTTCTGTTTCTGTGCATATTTTGTTAGCCTCCTTTTATCTTGTTTGTCAGTGGACAGGACAACCACAGGACCACCACAGGACCACCACAGAGCAGGTATTATTTGAGTGGTGGATCATTCTCAGCACTGCAGAGCCGCTAATGTGGTGATGGTGTGTTAGTGTGTGTTGCGCTGGTATGAGTGGATCAGACACAGCAGTGCTGCTGGAGTTTTTAAACACCTCAGTGTCACTGCTGGACTGAGAATAGTCCACCAACCAAAAACATCCAGCCAACAGCATCCTGTGGGCAGCGTCCTGTGACCACTGATGAAAGACTAGGATGACCAACACAAACTGTGCAGCAGCAGATGAGCTATCGTCTCTGACTTTACATCTACAAGGAGGACCAACAAAGTGTGTTTGTCTAAAAGAATGAACAGTAGGTGGGCTCCAGCAGCACTGCTGTGTCTGATCCACTCAGACCAGCGCAACACACACTAACACACCACCACCACGTCAGTGTCTCTGCAATGCTGAGAACGATCTACCAACCAAATAACACTTGCTCTGTGGTGGTCCTGTGCGATCCTGAATGTATTGAAGAACAGAGTGAAAGAGGGCTCTCAAAGTACGCAGAGAAACAGATGGACTACAGTCTGTAATTGTAGAACTACAAAATGTACCTATATAGTAAGTGGAGCTGATAAAATGGACAATGAGTGTGTGTGTGTGTGTGTATATATATATATTTATATATGTATGTATGTATATGTGTATATATAAGGAAGGTAAATGATATATTATGATTAATACCACCTTTATTAATGTAATATTTTTTTTCCATTGTACCTCAGCTATAATTTCTTTCAAAGGTTCAATCCAAAATAGTTAAAAATGGATATACATAATTTTTGGTGGAAAACAAGGGAGTGCTATTAGCACTCAAATAGGTTTTGGCACTTCTGGCACAGCTTCATAACAGCAGTGCTTCACATTAGTGACACTGTGTGTCCTTGGTTTTTCAGCTATTTTGACGCAAATTGTAAAAACATGGCAACAAAGTCTAATTTTACACAAAGCATGATTTATTGGAATACATTTTCATCGAATTAAGATTAAAACAAAACATCTCTTCTACTGACAAACAAAATGTGGCATCAGTTGAAAATTTAGAATCACTAAATATGGTAATAATGGTGACTTCTACGGCTTTAAGTTACGACACAAGTACACACTTCCTCCACTGTCAATGTTATATGTCTAACCTTTGGTCTCCCTTTCTTCTTTTGCTTGTACAGGATGATGAAAGGGTAAGTGATGTTTTTGGTGTTATTTCCTAATGTTTGTAGTGTGATCTGAGCATGGCTTCAGTGTGCATTTCTCTACTCAGTGTCCTCTGGACCGGACACCACCTGAGGACCCAACAGAGGAGGAGGAGGATTGTGACTGTGCTGGGGGGGTTCCTGGACCACCTGGACCACCTGGACCACCAGGGCCACTGGGGACAAAGGTCAATTTTCTCCATCTGAAATTTCAGCTCTCACTCACACACCTTAAACATTATGTAATATGTTTAATAATGTGGTCAACATACCAGATATGTCATTATTAGTTGTAATTGCATTTTATGAGGAGTTAACAAGATCCATAAATGTTGACTTTGCTGTATTTGATTGGATGGAAATATTTGGCATAATGAAATTATGTATATTATTTGTTTTTTGACTGTGGTTAATAATCACTCTGCAGGGTGAGAAAGGAGAGAATGGACTTCCAGGCCCTGACGGTAAGCCTGTGAGTACTGCTTCCATTCACTCGCTTTGGAAAGAACAGTTACCACCATTATCACAGAAATACATTGTGCTGGATCTACAGTAATAGTCATGTGAGTATGATTGTATTTTGAAAATGTTGTTTTTAAGGGCGTGAAAGGTGAGCAAGGGATCCCCGGAGAGCCAGGTAAACCAGGGGAGAAGGTACGATTTCTGTGCTATGACTTCTGACTTTTTATTTTTTTGTTAAAGATGCGTGAAAAAGTATACCGTGTGCTAAACTATTATGTTCTTCACTCTCCCCAACCAGGGTGAAGCTGGTTTCCCTGGGCCCAAGGGTGATACAGGAGTAAGGGGCTACAAAGTAGGTTGAATCAAAATAATCTAAATGAAACATCTAATTTAATAAAGCAGAACATTTTTGGAACTAATAGTGATGGGTTTTTTTGTAGCCTGGTTCGCAGTAGCTGTAATTAACCAGGAAGGGCAGAATCAGTATTATATTAGAATACTGCAGTTATTTAATGATTGCTGTACCCTCATTTCATGGGAGATATTCACTTAAAGTAAGGGTCAGTGCACCTTGTGACAGTCTTGTTTCCAGTCTGTGCCTCATTATGAGTTCTATGTTTCTGGGGTTTTCAAAAAAAAAAAGACTTACAAAGAATAATAACATATTTCCCCTTAACTCTGTTATCAGATGAAGAAGGACACTATGGGCTCGCTGTGTGTATGAATATTGTGACTCGAGGTTGATCTGCTATGTGTGATGTTATTGCATGAAGAATTGCTCTTGACTGTATAACTGTTCTTAAGAGAAATAGAAAGACACTAAGAAGATTCTCAAGAAGTTTTTATGCAGAATAATAGTATATCTTAACTTTTCTTGCCACATATTTGCTAAACTGGTTCTGTATCTACAGGGTGAGAAGGGACAGCCAGGTTTACCTGGGAGACCAGGCCTACCAGGACTGAAGGTAAGATCTGAGCCTTTCTAGTTGTGACCCATGGAACCTATAGCAGTACCCCCCTGTGTTAGCACCACAGTGGCTCTCTTTATGAGTTCTGCCCTGGTATTTGACTGGAGGTTTAAAACAGATGGTGGTGGGTCCTGTGGAAGGAGGGCAGGAGAATAGAGTCAGGCCTGTCCTTTCCAAAACATACGGCGAGGAAGCAGATGGATTTGTTTTTATATGTAACACATTGCTAAAGAGCGGGCAAGTAGGGCAATGCGTAAATAGCCGCCAGTCAAAAATACTTTGGCTCATCTCATGTGTGAGTTTAAGGCTGCTCTGTATTCTAGCCAAGATCCCTATAGTGGCACATGATCAAACATGGAGGCTGCCGGAAGGCCCTGAAAAAGAGCTGTGGATTAACATGAAATACTTTTGCAAAAGATTGGGCTTTTCTCTCACCTTCAAAAAACATCCACACAATGCATTGCTAAAAAATCCTTGTCTCAACAGCAGCCTCAAGGTGGGAAAGGTGAACAAGGACCCCCTGGAGAGCCGGGCCCAAAGGTAATGTTCAAAGGCATGTCTGTTGTTCACATACAGCGGAGATTTTGGATTGTTCTTGTTCTGCAGCAGCCCCGTGATACAGGCACACAATGTCTTCTTTAGTGGCGCTTAATAGATTTGCTATGTTCTAAAGCAGAAAAAAGAGCAACAATATGCCGTGGAGATGCAAAACAAAAATGTTTGAAACATGAAAGATAGAGAGAGAGAGAGAAACATGTTTTATAATTTGGAAAGCTATCTGTTATTTTGCTAAGCTCTTTGATAATGTTGCAATCACATAAAAAGGGATGGAGGGCACTGATTCAAAACCAGTTTGGTTACAGTTACAGTAATGGTGGACTATAAGGTTCTTAGCATAATCTGTCTAGTACTTTATCTATCTAGTTTAATTAATTTACTTATGGGAGATGTGGTGTGTTTTGCACTGTTTTATTGCGTGACTGTTGAATGAAAGCATCAACCATTGGAATCCCTATAATGTCTCACTGAGTGTGTTTACATGCACTTAATGATCCAAAAACTGCAGAAAATCAGATTCTGATCAACAGGTTTACAAGCACTTGGGTAATCAGATAATGAGAAAACGCTGGGTCTACATGAGTCAGGCAGTAATCAGGTTTCTGCTTTGCAACCAGCCAATAAACTCACAGAAGACGTGACGTAAATGTAACGTAAAACTCAAACTTCATGTTGCAGCTTTTTTTTTTAAACACTGTGAAAATTTACCTGAAAATATGAACATGTATCATCTAGAAGATGAAGGAAGTTTAAATCCTTCATTTCGTCAAGCATATAGTTGGTCTCAGTGTTGCTCCAAAAGTGTTGTGCTGTCATCTCGCGGCAATGCTGCTTGCTCATTTCGGGTACCTTGGTCTGTTTTCGCACATGCGCAGACTGAGAATTCCAAAAGAAATCTGAGTAAGAGTTTACATTCACTGGGAATTCTGATTAATGAGCTAAAATCCATCTCTCTTTATTGGATTTCTTAATCAGATTTCTAGACCTTACTCTGATCTATGAAATCGCAATATGCTGTTTACATGACCGTTGGAATAATCAGATTAAGTCAAGTCAAAGTTTTTTATACAGCGCCTTTTACAACAGGTGTTGTCACAAAGCAGCTTTACAGAAAAATCCAGGTCCAAGCCCCCATGAGCAAGTCAATGGCGACAGTGGCAAGGAAAAAGAAAAGAACAAAAGAACAAAACCTGCAAATAAATAACTGCAGATAACTGCAGACATGATTGGATTATTGAGTGCATGTAAATGCACTCACTGTCACTGAATATGGTACTGGGGAAAAGTTAGAGATCACTCTTCATTTATTTAGCTTTGAGTCAAAATGGCCATTGAGTACAAGTTATTAAGCATCAGAAAAAAGCAGAAAACATGTTTAACAGAACACCTCCAAAGTTCTGTCTTTTCTTCATGCATTTTCTGCTTCTTATGATCCAAATAATCTCAAACACATTCAATAGTGTTGAGGTCTGGACTCTGGGATGGCCAGTCCATTGTTCAGAGAACACCAGCAGTGTTTGATTTGCAGGTTTTGTTCTTTTTTTATCTATTCCTTTTATCAGTAACAGCTTCCTGACAGCTACACATCCTTTCAGATCCATCTGTGAATATTTTTTTGAACTCCAATTTTGGAAACTCCTGTTTTTTTGCTTATTTATGAAATATGAATAGCTTGTCAGGTGGTCTCTGACTTCTGCACAGTGCTGTAAATCACTGAATACATAGTTGTTCTGAACCAACAGTGTCTACTATGCAGTCTGTGCGTGACTGGTGCTAAATAGTGCCAGCTAAAGCAAACCCTGTCAATGACACACTTGGAAATCATTTGTCATTTCATATGAAGTTCACTCACGCATTACGTTGGCCTGAGTTCTAATCACTTTGGATCCTTAACATAAGCAAGTCCTTAAAAATGTGTATTTTCATGCATTTGATACACAACAAAGGGGCTAAATTGACTTGGACTCAGGTCTATGTCAGAGAATGCTATATTGTGGAATTCCTTTCCCATCCTACTCCCCTTCCTCATGGCTCTCTTTGTGCCCTAAGGGGTTGGAGACTAATAGGTGTAATTGTGGTTCGTTTGGCTCATTTAAGAGCAAGACTTTTTTTTTCTTGCACTGCCATATCCCACTTTGTCCTCTTAAAGTCTTGTGTTTCCCACCCACAGGGGGAGCCAGGGCTTCCTGGCATCATGGGACCAGTCGGCCCAGTGGGACCACAGGTCAGTCCATTTTTAAACGACTTTTAAAATGAGGTGCCTGAACAATGTGGGTTAGTGAAATATATGTGAATGTTGTCAGTGTGATCCATATGAATGACATTGACAGATCAGATTAGTGCTTTTGTATTCCACATGAATCTGTGTTGCACTCTGGGGAGCAGTAATTTCACAGTCATTAACGTCAAGCAAAGCTTGTCGCAATTCATTTCACGTCCTGAGATATCACAGAGTGAAAAAACATGCACTTTTAATAATATATATATATATATATATATATATATATATATATAATATATATAATAATAAATAGCTTTTCAAAGTTTCATAATCTACTTCATACTGTAAAGGTTGTATACTAATTAAAGGTTTGGTTCCTAGAACCAAACACTTTTAAAAATAAAGGTCTAAAATTGTTATCGACAAATTTTCTAGGAAAAACCTTTAATTGATACTGAACATTTACAATTTGAGGAAGGATCTAAAAACGTTTAAAAAGCTTCTTTGGAGCAGTGCCATAGAAGAACCACTTTTGGCTTCCTATAAAATGTAATGGCTCTTTAAAGAGTCATAAATGAGATAAGAGTGAAGAAGCTTATTAAAATTTGTGGAGACGTCCTCAAATTGTAAAGTTTCTGCATGAACTGTGCATCTGAGTCAAGAACCATTTTTTAAGAGCATACAGTACATTGTTCTTTGTTTCATTGTGGTGGTGTGGTTCTGAATGTGGATTGTTGGATTGTTCTATGTCAACTCAACTACAATCTTAAAAATAGAGAGGTTTTTTGAGTGGTACCATAAAAGTTCCATGGATGTGAGTGTCAAGAATGTTTTATAAGGTGCTAAGAATCCTTAAATTGGTAGGGAAACTTTACTATATATGGACTTTTCACTCAAAGTTCTTCACAGATCTCCTTATTAAACGTGGCTCTTTAGGGAACAAAAAGTGGTTCTTCTAGGGCATCACTCAAAGAACCCTTTGTGGCACTGTGTTTTTTAAGAATGTAAGGTCTGCTAGATGATCAAGGATTTCCATGGGAAAAAAATTCAACCAAGAACTTCTATTTAATTCCTGTTATTAAAAAATTCAAAACAGTGCCCCTAATAGTTTTCTAGTTATGGCCTGGTTGGTTCTAAATGGCATTTACCTACTTACTACAGTGGCTACAGTGATTACTGTAAAATTAGTTACATCCAAGAAACTTTCAGCCACTAAAATGTTGTTAAAATGTGTGAGTAAAACTTTTCTGATGCTGCTGTAGTTTTCACTTTCTGCAGTCACTGTACCTATGAGGGATGTCCTTGGAATTGTGGTTATGTTCTAAGCAGTGTAAGTTGTCTGAGTAATTGAAGTGCTCTTCCTGTTATTATAATGATAGAGAGATGGGGGTGTTTGAGCTTTTGAACTGTAATCCAGAGGACAATCTGTCTCAATGTGTGGGTAGACAGCTGCTGCAGTAATAACTCTCATTTTGCAGGCGTTCACACTTCTGGTTGCTAATGCAAAACGCATGCTGGGTGCTACTGTGAATGAGTAGTGAGCAGACCTGTTCTCACCCACTGTAGCTAAGTACTACAGGCCTGGAGTGCACCTGTGTTTTCAAGTGTTTTCTTTTGGCTCTAATATACCTGATTTAACTCATCAGCTAATTATCAAGCTCTTCATAAACTGGATCAGGTGTTTAAGAGCACTAAAAACTAAACTGTGTGCTGATTATGTGGGCTTGCATCGGGAAATTTGTATACTACATGTTCATGCTTGAACTATCTGGGTTTTGTTTTTTTCCCTTAGATTTTTATTTGAGGTTTCTTCTGTTAGTGAACAATTAACTGCTATCCAAATGTAACATTGTCTTCAGTTTAGCTCTGTCTTTACTTCAGCTGCTATTGTGAGACTGATCAGATGCACAAGAACAATAAATAAAGTGCATTTGCCTTGAGATAGTTTCAGGGAACATTACTCTGGCTAATGAGTTACAGGAACTAAGCAGATTTTCAAAGATAGAGCCATTTCTGCTTAGTTTATATGGTTAAATCAAACTCCCATTAAGATGACGGCAAAATAAAACAAGACTATGTTTACATGGAAAAGTTGGGATGAATTTTCCCATAGGCCCTAAAATTACATCACTTTTTCTTCATTTATGGATTGCAATCCTGATTCAACAAGACAAATCACTTTCTCTTACAAATGGAATAGTGGTTCTTTCAACCACTAACATCAGTAATTTTGCTTTCCATGTTTCACTAATTAGAGAACAACACTGTAGCCATTGTAAAATGTACTTCACATGGTTCCATTCAGATCAACTTTCAAGAACTAATTCAATAAAGCTCAAAGTAGCCACATAATTGTGGAATCCTTTGTGGATCATTGATCATTCTTGTTGATTTACTCACCCTAAATGACTTTCTGTTGTGTTCTTTAGTGAGTAGAGGCTACACTGTGTAGCTTTCGTTATATAACTTTAAAGCTTTTTTGCTGTTATGATTGTTGATTAATCAGAGTTGTGCAGTAATGTTCTGAAATCAAGGAAAAGTAATTGCATATAGCATTGCATACTCTTAATAAAAAACGTTTTCATTCGTGTGGAGACGAATGAACATAAGTTGAGTTCCCCAGAAGGTTAAATTGATTATTGTCCAGTCCCACTTCAGAAACCCCTGCACCTGTCCTTTTACTCTTATAGTTTGAGAAATCCAGAGTTGTGTTCAGATGGTTCTCTGTGGGCATAGTGGGGGTTTGTTTGTTTGTTTGGGATGTTGGATGTATTATGGATACCAGGGATGAACCGTAACTTTTAAGGCTAGGACATCAGTTTAGGCCATAAATGTGGAAAAGATAAGAAAAAATTCCTATCTATACACTGATGCTAATTTAGACTAGCTTTCTCTATATTTTATGTGATCAATAAGCTACGCTGGTGTGAATTAATATTTTTTGTCATTGTAGATTAGACAATTAAAGCTTGTAAAAAAGTATGCATACATTTTATTTGAAGTTTGCATTAGACAATAACATGTTACATTGTAGCAGTTTTACAAAGACTGTTCTTCATTTCAAACAACCTACTAAAACAACTATACTACAGCTTGTAATCACAGTCAGTGACACATCCAGGACTTCCAGAAGGCTTAGGGTGGCCTTTTTGCTAAAACATCCGGCTTACATACTGTAACTCAAAATATATTTGGTTGATTCATTTGCCACTTCCTAATAATTTTGTTATATACTTAACCTAAAGTGTAAGGTCTTCAGTTCAGCTCCTGAAGTCCTAACCAATAAGAGAGCTAGCTTGAGTGCATCTACCTTGATACCACAAAATCCTGACTGGACAATTTTGGACTGTTTCAAGCTTGTAATGTTTTGGTTTCTAAAAACGTGAGAATGAACTGCAGTACTTGCTAGATTTAAGAACAGTGAGTATGATGATTTATTTAATAAAATTAAACTAAATGCTACAGATGTGTTTTTTAGTTTCCAGAAATCATTTGGCCTTTTTTGGCCTAGAAGATCCTGAGGTTTTCCCACTCCTGAATGCAATGTCAGTATGACTGAAAGGGTGTAGCTGAGTAAAAAGTAGATTCATTTCCTCACAAATATAAGTAAAGTTAAATGTACTGGCATTTGAAAATGATCAGAGAAGCACAAATACATCATAATTTTACTTACAGCTAAGTTTATGTAATTAGTTAGGCCAATGGCTGCTGGTTAGTGGTCTTGTGAGGACTGTACATTGGCTCTATCGGATTTAAAGACACTGTAGGGACCCTAAGTTGGATGTCATTGAAAAAAAAGTGACTCCAGAATGTGTGGAGATGAAAAATGGACTCGAAAGTTGTCAACTCTCCAGTTTAATAATATGCACACATTCAGTAAAACACACCACAATCATTAAATGAACAATAAAATCACTGAAAAGTCAGTAAAAGGCATTATATGACAGAAAGGCTTTAAAAGAGTCACAGAGGCTTGAAAGAAAGTACCCTCCTCTGCCATTTCTGTCTGTGTGACACCCATCAGTGCCATGCGCTTTACTGTGTGGCCTCTACTCTAAAAAAACGTTCATGTTCTTTGGACTTGTACACCTTTACCTCAACTAAGCTTCAAGTTCACTCCACCCCACAAAAACATGTTTCCACAGAAAGCTTGTGTTTGGCTGACCATGCAGGGGACTTGTATTTGGGCGTAAATGTACAGTATTTATGATGTAATGTGTGCACGTGTGTTTATGCAGTCATGTTGTTCAGATCATAGTGTTGAATGAAACTTGTATTTACTGTAGTGTCAGGTAAGCATTGCTGGATCATTTGGCCGACAGGTCTTTCATGGCTGCCGTCCATGGTTGCTTTTTCCACTGCTTAGTTCCACCTAGGGGCCACATACTGCTAAGCTTTGAGCACACTGTAGACATGTCTTCAGTAGTGCGTATTATGTGAAATTTAGAAAGGTGTGGTGTGGTAACATTATGGTCTTTTGGAGTCTTGCAGGCAAAGCTTCACTTTAAAGCATGCTGTGTTGGACCATCACTCCAACAAAGTGATGGATTGATCCATTAATAAGCATCATTCAATAGCAGATGTTTTTCAGATTATTTACTCGTGTAGTCTGTTGGCCATAGGTTGAAGCAGCTGTCAAGACATTTTTTGTTGACTTTGCAGTTTGAGCTACTGCTCCTGGAGTATAGGCTTAGCTGGTTACATGATTTTCTTTGAAAAGAACTCTTGTATTTTCTCTTTGCTTCAAAAAGCCTCCTTTGTTCTCTTGGTAAGAGCAAACCTCATATGAATTGAAGACTTTAAGCCTGCAAAATGCCCTAAATAAGAGCATGTCTGTGTGTTGGTAACTCAACACTAGGTCTGTTGTTGTTTGATCAATTATCAAACTGTATTTTTAAGAGTGTACATCGTTACACTGTTAAAAATACAGGTGCCAAAAGGGTTCTTTGGAGCGACGTCATTGAACCTTTATCTCCCTAAAGAATCTTTCAACAGATGTTTCT